GAGGCGAAGACGCGGAGATCGAGCAGATCCCGTGGCAGATTTCCTTCCAGACGCTCAGCGGGTTCCACTTCTGCGGGGGATCCATCATGGACTCGACGCACGTCATCACGGCTGCCCATTGCTGCGACGGCGAGGGACCCGGCTCCGCCAACGTGGGGATCGGCTGCTTCACCGGCTCCGTTTGCGTCGAGCGTTCGTAACGAGGCGTGTGTTTGCTGTTGAATGTTGCAGATCAGGGCGGGCAGCAACCGCAACGACCGAGGGGGAGTCCTCGTCAACGTGGCCGACGTTCTCCAGCACCCGAGTTTCGACTGGTGAGTGCTCCCTAGCGGTCTTTTCGGTCTACGGGACGGCGGGGTTTCGTGCACGGGTATTCGTTGATTGGGCCGAAATTGTCGATTTGTTGCTCCGGAGCTCTCGTAGAATAGGGACAGTAGTACGTTGGGGTCATAAAGGTATCATTTGGTCCAAGTTATGAATCAAAACGTTAAAAGAATCACTTTCGGCTTTCGGCATCACTGAGTCATAGTTTCTTTATTCAACAACCGAAACACCAAGGGATACCTCTTGAGGAACGGTGATCCAGATTAATTTCTTTTAAATTTGGAAATGGTTTCGGTATCGAATAACATTTTTGGGATGAGCAGCGCATCAAAGCTTTTTTTTGTAGGCTTAATGTCTCCCATGTTGTATCGAGGTGTCAAAACGTGAAGTGCAAGTGGTGCTCTCTGAAAAAATCGGTGACTACCAAAACCGTAACAAAGTTTCACTTGCAAGCGTTCAATGCCGAATCTCATTGGAGGCATGAGATAGCATGAAATAGCATGAAATAGCATAAAATAGCATGAGATACCAAGTGGCTGACCGCCTGCTTTGCGAATGCCTCGCTTCCTCTCGTCGTCTCGTCTCAGATGGGATACAATCCTCTCCGACTTCCAGGGTGGATTAGTAAGAGCGGAAATTAATTTAAAATGTCATTTCACTCTCAGACTTATTCATTTTTAGGAACGACCTGTCTAACGACATCTGCCTCTTGACCTTGGACGAACCCCTTCCATTGGACGACGTGACAATGAAGGCAGTCGCCCTCCCCGAACAAGATCAGGATTACGAAGGTATGCTTCCCTCGTTCTGTCCTGTCTGCTTCCGATCTTTTAAATCGAAATATAGAGCGTTCATAATGGTGTGAGAATCGGGGATCGTCCGTTACGTCATCATCGATGTCGTAATAGATATTCCCCGATCGTATGAGTCCTGGGGCTGCATTTAACTAATGCAACCCCAGGGGTCCTGGGGTTGGGCTTGCATTTAACTAATGTCTCACTTTATGGAGCCATGAATGCAGGCAGTGGCCATTCAACAAGTAAGAGCGCGAGTTGAAAAGGCATTGCGAGTGGATCTGTGAGCCTTCGATTCGAGCACGGACTTCTGATCGGGATTTGGCCAAGCGAAAGGATCCACTTCTGTTGTAGGTGGGGTCGACGTGAGCGTGAGCGGGTGGGGAACCCTGTCCCCTGGGGGAAGCACTCCGGACATCCTCCAGGTCGTGGATGTCTACACGTACACTGACGATGCATGCAACGAAGCCTATGGTGGTGATGTCACTCCGGACATGATCTGCGCCGGTGTCGACGAGGGCGGCAAGGATTCTTGCCAGGTGAGGCGTATGGCAAGGAGAGCAACAATAAAAAAAAAGACATTGTGAAATGCACGAAGGTCTTCATGCATCTTGGGTTTTGTCAGTGCGTGATAACTTTAAGCAGAGTTCCTCCCCCCTCTTCCCCCCCTCGTGATCATGGAAACCAACTGCAACTGAAAACGTAATGAATATTGTATACTTCACTGCGAGTATTTCACAATTTTCTAAGTCTCGCAGCGTCGACGATGCTCCGACTCGAATCTTTGAATCCCTCATTATTGATATCGATTCCATACTCTATAATAGGGAGATTCCGGAGGCCCCCTGTTCCTTAAGGGAGGCGATGAGCACCTTGTGGGTATCGTCTCTTGGGGATACAGCTGTGCTGAACCGGATTTTCCTGGAGTCTACGCCCAGACATCCACTCACATCGATTGGCTGGCGGAAAATTCCAAATGAAAACATCACATTCCTATCATCCGTCTTCTGCATAATAAAGTTATGCTTATATGAAGGATGGCCGGTTATATGCATTTCTGAAGGCAGTAAGGTCATTATGACAATTAATCTGTCTTCCAACGTAAACATACGAGAATTTTCCAACCAGTGGAGAGGACTGCACTCGTTCATGTATCTGGGCAATTTTCCTGAGAAAAAAATCATTGGCATATCTCAGTATTCTCAATGCTTTCAAGAAGCCATCATGCTTTTCATGCTTTCACATGTCAGTCACCCTTGTCACAGAGATGATAGTCCTCTCACTTGTCAGAAAGTTCCCTCTCAGGGGTGCTGAAG